AGGGTCCATGTAGCTATATGAGCCATAGTCTAAACTCCTAGTATCTCCCTTAATAACCCCTGTAGTAGTCCCCTATATTACCCCCTATATAACCCCCTTTAAGGAGTTTAGACTATAGCTCATATAGTATATACTTGGGCCTCAAAGTAGCTACATAGGAACCACTTTGAGCCCTAACTATATACTACGTACCTACATGGATCTTTTGGGAGTAAGATGCCAGGATCTGGCTCGTGGCTCTTTGGGATAACTGGGATAATTAGCCTTCGAATGTTGGTCCAGAGAATGGTGGAGCTAAAGCCCGCTATGACCTGCTGTTTGCTTTCGTCTCATTTTATAGAGACCATTCTATAGAGAACTGGGGGGGGTCTAAAATAACACTTAGAGGCATACTCCTGGAAGCAATTCATGGACAGACATGCGGGACTTTTTCAGACTTGACTGCGGCAGCCCCAGCCCCCCAATATCATGCCGGGTGCATTCTCGTTACACCCTGTCACCCCGGTGCCGCCTTTAAAGATACGAGTGTATAAATGTACAAAAGATCCTTAAACGGGCGAAGAATGCCGCAGGGCTGCGGATGAAGAAGGATAAGCTAGGAGTACGGCTACTGTTAGAAGATACTGCAACTGTACTAGTACTCCTGCATGCTCTTGCACATGTTGGCAAGTTGTTGCATGTCGTTGCTTGTTCTGATGTGTCCTGTGGTTCTTGCACCGGCATCCACGGTTCTCACTTCACATTGCTTGATCTATTATTTGAAGGACTTGAAATCTGTTTTGCACCGGACTGCGTTGAGCTTATGAGTTCCAATCATCTCTGAATGACCTGCATTCTTCTCAATTCCACGATTCTTGCTTTCACTGTAACAACACACCTAGCTGGACCTAGCTACACTTGAAAAATCCAACCAGATGCACCCAACATCGGGGTGACATGACGCCTGTGGATTTGTACGAGGGGCAACGGACGCACCACCCCGCTTTCCCCAAACCCAAAACTGCATGGTTCAATGCACCTAAGAACCCGCCCCAACTTTCCCTGAGAAGTGTTAGCCACCTTGCGTTAAGCAAAGAATATGCGCTAGCCCATTTCATATGGGTTGCGGGTACATAATCGCTACCCCCAACGGACTAAAGCGCTTGATATGAACTTGGGGGGGAATGCACCGTCAACAAGGATAGTCAAGGGTAATTCTTTGGGAATACACCAGGATACCTAAAGACCAAACATGAATAGAGCGATACCCATACAAGGACGTGTCGGGAATTGTTGGGGTTATATTATACGGATGCGCAAGGAAGTTGTTAGCGATGTATTGTTGGGAGAATCAAAAGGACAATCAAATAGATCATGAAATGGAAACCAAGGTTCTGTTTTTCAGTAGCGACTTGCCAACACTTTATATCTCTTCTTGATTACCTATATACTTGCATCATAACCCAAGAAAATCCAATCCTAAGCCCTAAGCCTTTGCTTGCTTGGTCTAAGGCCTCCGACATTGTCCGAAGTCTGCTTCCATGGTTTATCGCTCTGCTCTTGGGCGTGCTCACCGCAATAACAGGACTAGGGATTATAGTTTACGGGAATTGCGGGAGTCTCTCAAATACTCACCCGAGCAGGATTCATCCCCGTGATCTTTTAGCATTCCCATATAGCCCCGACACCCTATACCCTAAATCCTAAGCCCCAACACATCCTTAACATTTCTAGGGGCTCTCAACCGACCCCCAAAGGAAGCTTCACTGTGATCTCCAGCTTCTTCCCTTGGCTTTTCATACAAATGCATTGGGTTCTGCTTCCACTCTAAAACAGCTGGATAATATTTATAATATACTTGTTATAGTCCCCCTTGAGTAGATAGAATATGGGGTATATGGGGATCTTATTTTAATACACCCAAAGCCATATTCTATCTGCCTAAGGGGGACTAGATATAAAGCCCTTAAGCCCTCATATGCAGTGCTACAGGGTGTGGGCAGGACCCAACAAATTCAACCTGAAAAAGCCCAAACTGTGCCCTCAGTCAACTTGAATACGAGCATGGGCTAGAGTGCTAGAGTCTAAACTCCTTAAAGGTGGTGATAGGGAGATTGAAGCTCCTATCACTATAGTCGTGTGTTCTACTAAAGCACATTGTGATGGGCGCCTCCGTTCTGTCATGCACCCTTGATCTACGGTCTTGAGCCCTAAGCCCTATACCTTCAAAACTGTAAGCTTGTGACACGCTTGCCGAGGTCAGTGCAAGGATTTTAGCAACCAAATTGGGACCCTATCGCAGTCAAATGAGCCATGTTCTGAACTCCTACAAGGGGCTATAGGGTTTATTAAGGGGGACACTAGGAGTTTAAACCATGGCTCAAGGGATAATTACGGGGTCCTCATTGCAGGGCTTGAGATAACCAAGATCTACTTGTAAAAGCTGCCTAGAGACAGCCAAATGATGCAGACTTCCAGAAATTCCAGAGTAGGAGGGAAGCAGCTACAACCAGGGTCCCCATAGTTATAAGGTGGGCTATTCGTGGGTTATATCGGGGATAGGTACAGTTGTCCTTTCCACAAACTTCAGGTATATGGGATTTTGAAGTATAGGTAGGCAACTAGAGGGCCCCGCCCTACAGGGGTGAACAGCCCGCACGGTTATACAACGCGGCTTAGGGTTTAGAATATAGGGGTTAGGTAGATCCTCAAGCTACGCCTTATGGGACTTGCAACCACTCACCCCCATCATAACTCACTTGCAACCCTACTTATAACTTGGTGTCCCTACCTGGAAAGCCTTTTGGGAAGGAAGCGGCATTGCCATTTTCTCCGATTTTCTCGGGGACGCCCGCCTCTCGCTGGATTAGTGAGGCATATTCAGGTTGCCAAAAACGGGGGGCTCACCATTTGGGGGTCCCTATGACAAGGGTTATGTTGTATTGGGTCTGCAGTTGAGGTTTCCTATTTACCCCCACCTAGGCAGCTAGCTTGGTGATATGTTTTCAGTGGTTAGCGTTCAGGGTTTAGGGTTTAGGGTTCTTGTTACCCTAAACCCTTTAAACTCTAGACCGCGTTCTCGGTTCTGTCTACCCTAGAGTTTCATAGCCGAGTAGCCTGCTATTTAGGTAACTGGGAACCCTAGGGTAACTAATCAGCATCGACAGGGGCTTAAAATTGCCGCCACTTTGCTAGCCTTAGTCCAGGTTGTAGAAGTATCAGAATGTGAGAGGGCATCTATAAGGCTCAAAGGCCTGATAGGTGACCAGGGTTTAGGGTTTAGGGTTTAGGGTTAGTGTGTATTGTTTAGGGACCGAGGGTGCTATGCCTAGTAATCATGTACTCCCCCCCGAAACCTGTCCTACATTTGCTACTACCAACACTCCAAGTACCCAATGCTCGGACCCTGAACCCTACAACCCTACAACCCTGAGCCCTATACCCTTATAACCCTGCACCGTAAAACTCTAAAACCCAAAGCGCTATCAACCCTAGACCCCGCACTTTTACCCATCCACAAGGCTTTGGCTTCTGTCGCGGCATCCTACTTGCGGATCGGAACCGCTGTTGCGGAGGCTTTGAGGATCTCAACCGCTTTACTTTGGCAGGTGGGTTTCAGGTTCAAGGGTCATGTAGTCTAGGCTTCAAATAGCTGAGGGCTTGGAAGATTTAATGGGGCTTGGAATAAACTCAAAAAAGTAAACTCTAAACTCTAAAGCCTAAGCCCTAAACCTTAAACCTTATGCGCAAAATTGTAGTTTCCATGTTCTCTTCCATTATCCCTATATAACCCCTAGATAACCCCAATACAACCTTGTGGAGCTTTGGGCTTTGCCGCAGGGGTCAATCTCCATTCCGTGAGGGGGATAATTAATATCAGGAGAAGGCAGGTCGGTGCTTGTGGCCTCCCCGTGAAATAGGGTTTAGGGTTCATGGAACTTAGTAACTACTTGGACCTGGACTCATAACCCACTAAGAATCCCCATGCCTGGACGTATGTGCGTTATCCAAGGACAAATCAGGCTATAAGCCCAGTTATAAGTAGTTGCTACTCTAAAATCTAGACCCTACTTTCATGAGCCTTCAAGTACAAAGCCTTACTGCTGGGGCCCGAAGAAGTACAAATGTTATGATCCAAGTTTCCTCCTATGAGCTGTGGTCTAAAATACTGAAAGAGGGATTATATGGGGGACTACTATAGGGCTTGTTAAGGGGGATACTAGGAGTTTAGACTATAGCTGCTTACCTAGATTGACACTTGAAAAGGGAACTGGTATTTGTTTAGCCCGCTAGAGTACATTGCCTGATCCGCCTCGGGCAAAAGTAACATAGGCCAACCAGCATTTAGAGACCCTAGAACCTAAACCCTTAAACCTAAACCCTAAACAGCAGTCTCTAGGGTCCTTAGCTTGAGTCCAATGTTTAGGGTTTCAGTAATACCTTGTATCACCTCTCTAGAATCCATGCTAAGAACCCAGTATCGCCTGCCTGCGACCCCTGAACATTTACACCCTAACGATTAAACTCATGAAGAAACTCAATTCCCCGCGCGGCATTCTGGGCCTCACCATAAACCCTTCACCTGCTGTCATTCCCAACCCAATCCATTGAACAGATAACCCCCCCGACAATGGCGGCTTCTCCATATCATTCCAAACATGGCCTGCTCAATCCATGGTGGGGCCCCTGGAATCTCCACGCAAGCCGCGCACACCCCTACCGTAGGGTCCCCAAGGGTAGCCTTGTGTTCAAAAAAGCTCTAAACCTTATTAAGCGCTAAATGGTAGCTTCCATTTTCTTTTCCAATATCCCAATGTACTCGCATAATCCCTATATAATCTCTATACAAGATGTCTTGGAGGCTCTGAGAACGTGGACTATGTTCTGGAGACGTGCCTGGGCTACGCATGGAGGTTCAGGATGATTAGGGTTTAGTGTTTAGGGTCCATGTAGCTATAGAGTAAAGTGAGAACTATTATATCATAATAGGGTATATATAAATAGCTATGTGTATATTGGGTTTTATAGGGAATAACGGAAGAGAAAATATTTAGGGTTTAGGGTAGGTATATAGTATATACTTGGGCCTTAGCGTGGCAAAACCCTAAACCCTAAACCCTAAGCCGCGTTAAAACTTTTGGTGTATAATTTGATCTTTAAGAAAAGTATGCGTACAACCGGAGAATCAGCGGTTGAGTCACATGAGATGGTTATCATGAGATATCACCTCCTTAGGTCTCTGAAGCCTCAAGGATTTAAGGTTTAGGGTTAAGCCCCAAAGCGGATACTCCCCTTGGAAGCGCCTGAAAAAGGGACCTTCCTATGCATCCCTAGAAGCCTTTCCAAAGTGAACCTCCAACCCTAAACCCAAAACTGTAAATAGCCCAAGTACAGGTTTCCAGGGATGATACTCAGCACTCACCTTTCCTAGGTTTCTTGTTGAACTGGTTTCCAAAAAATGTGGGAGCCATTCTTTGGTGATCCTTATGATGTTGTTAGGAGCGATGAGATCATTTTGTGATACCCCTCATTCCTACGAAGTACGTTTTTTCTACGCAGGAATGATATGAATATCAACGTAACCGCAAAAACACTTGTAGTAGTCAGAGACATTATAATATTGGTTTCTCTGGAACTTTCAACAGCAAAAATGCGAGCAGCACGCCCTAAACCCTGTAAACCTGTAGCTCAATATATACTACTTCTAGATTCCATGTCCTTTTCCCGTGGCCAGTTGATTCTCCGCTGTTCGGGAGAGTATCCTTAGTGTCCTGTCCAATGAATCCTCTTTATGGGGACCCCGGCCCAGGTGTCCCTGATGTTGGCAACCACCCAGAAAATCTCATGCAGCCGTTTTTTCAAGCCCTAAACCCTAAAACATGAACAATAGAACCCTAAACCCTAATACCTTTACCATAAATCCTAGACCCCAAAACCCTATACCCTGATACTTTTACCCGAAATCCGAAACCCTATATAACACCCTAACCCTGAACCCTAATACCCTCACCCTAAATCCTAAAGCCTAAAATCCTAAAGCCCTAAACCGTTCACTTGTTCACGTCATGCCCAGCTTGTCGGCAGGTGCAAGAAGCCGGCGAGCCATGGCTCAAGAACTGTAAGGGTTTAGCGTTTAAGGTTTAGGGTTTAGGGTTTGGAGTTTGGAGTTTAGGGTTTAGAGTTTAGGGTTTAGGGGTTAGGGTTGAGGGTTTAGGATTTAGGCTGTAGGATTTCAGGCTAAAGGTTTAAAGATGTAGGATTTAGGGTGTAGGGTTTGGGGTGCAGGGGTTTAGGGTGTAGGTCTTTAAGGTGTAGGGGTTTAGGATTTCGGATGTAGGGTTTAAAGTTAAGGTTTAAGGGTTAAGGTTTCAGGGTTCAGGGACATTACCCCTGTAATGGAGAATCAAATGGACAAGAGTATGACACTTGAAACGGAAACTGGATGACCTCACCTTACTTGCTGTTGTATATGCACAACTGTCCCAAGTTGTCTCAATTTCCTAAACCCTAAACCCAGATTCTGAAATTAGAAAACATGCTCAGCCCGGGGCACTAAGATTGGCCAACCGGTTCCCTGAGAAGTCTTTGTACCTTTTAACGGGGGATATAGGGACTCCATATGGATATATAAGGATATATAGAATAGCGTTTAGGCTTTCCCCAAATTAGGGGTACCATTTTGGGGGTCCCCATAACTTAAGGACTATAGTATTTTGGGGTCCACATTTGGGTCCTTCTTGGGGGTTTGTACTATTTGAGGGTGCGTAGGAAGTTATACTAAGTGGCATAGAGGGCAGTTGTTAGTTGTTTAGGGCTTGGGGTGTGGGGTGCCTGTTTTTGGGTTCTATGATTTTTGGGTTTAGGGTTTAGGGTTCTAGGATTAGTCAGTCAGCAAGCCGCTCCAATTTATGGTTTGGAATCTGCCCCCCGGCTCCCCTACATGGGACGCTTTTCAGCAAGAGTTCCTCATTTGAGCCATAGTCTGACCTCTCTAAAAAGGGGTTATATAGGGGAGCATTATAGGTGTCATAAGGGGGATTCTAGGAGTTTAGACTATAGTAGCTCATTTGGGAGTCCCAAAAGCATGGGTGAAATTTCTCAGGGTCCAGGGTTCACTGTAACATGGGTTACAGTCCACAGGGTTTAGGAGTCCGGTGTAGGTCGATGTTGATGCTCCGCATTTTTGCCAACTCCGCATGAATCATGCTGTTTTGCTCTGTTCTGGCAATCCGAAATGAGCCACCGCGTCGGTATCAGGACAACGCCTTCTCCGAAAAGGCTTTAGGGTTTAGAGTTTCGGGCTAACAAATATCAGCTACATTGGGCCTTGAAATATAAATGCTAGCTACATTGGGCCTTAAAGTCTTTAAACAACAGCTACAAAGCGCCTCGAAGTGTATAGATACTAGCTGCAGGGAGCCTTAGGGCCTTAGGGTCAGACTCTAGCCTGGCCCCATCAACACATTCCAAAGCCCTGAGATGTTTTTTCAAGACAGACCAACCCAGTTAGCTATGTAGCGTGTTGCTGGAGTGTTCGTATTATGAGTATATGTTGAGTTTGTACCTATGTAGATATAGATATACATATATATGTATACATAGAGGCCCTAACAAAAAGTCGCCCCAACATATAGGCAGCTGGCCTAAACTCTAAAAGCCTAAGCCCCAAACCGTGCAGTTGCCAAGGATTGGTGACGACGGGGTGGTTTGGGTGCCTTGGGCCCACTTCTTCGAGTTCAGTGGCACAGCTGGCGCTGCCCTCTCCCTGTCCTTGCATCTGGAGTAGAGTTTGAGCATTGTTTTCATACGGTACGAATGAGGGTGTATATATATATATAGACAGATAAGAAGAGTAAGGGTTACATAGGAATATAATGCATCTGGAGTGGAGCTTCGTATGCTTTAGGGTCTAGGATGTAGGGGTCTATAGGGTTTAGGAGTTTAGGACTTTTTTGGCGAATGCGCATGGGGTTCTCTAGGACTTCGCAGCCTTGACTTGTGCAGACACGAGCCTGTGCCAAATCACAGCCTCGGTGCCCAAACGATGGGGACTAAATTCAGAAAAGCGTTTTTGGGCTACGGGTTCCCACCAAGGCCATGTAGGATTTCAAGCATCTGGGGCGCTTCAAGTAATCAGGCATCAGAGTCTTCCAGGTTTATCAGGGGGCCCCTAAGACAGGACATAGCTGCACCTTTGATGATTTCAGTATTCCCCCAGAGATATAGATGTATATATAGAGAGAGAGCGAGAGAGAGGCCCGAATGGAAACATGCCCGTCAACTTCATGGGCAATATTGATTTCAGCTGGTATGACGTAGGTTTCTTGTTATGGGTTTGGGTGAGTCTACATCAGATCCCTTAGGAATATCGCTGACTGTAGCGGGGCATTATACTAGAATCCTGCCGCTACGTCCTATTCCCATGTATCCGTATGGAGTTCCCCAAGAATCAAGAAATCAAATTTCAAACAGCCCAACCCTGCAATCCTGAACCCCAAACCTCTGAACCCTCAGACCTAGGCAATACCCTAAACCCTAAACCCTTCCACTACAGCCTAAAATCCTCCCTATGCCTAAACCTCCACACCCGAAATCCTAAACCCGTAATCCCTCAACCCTAGGTACGTTTCGGCCTCCGTCGTTTTCACAGGCTTGGCCGCGTATCTCGGTTAGGGCTGGATAAACCCGAAACCCTGTTTAGGGTCTAGGGACTGCGGCTGCGCGCAAAGTTGATTCCTTTGAAGGGCAGGTATAGCGATTTGTAGTGACGTGTAGATGGAGGGATTTGGTGGGAGTTATGAGGCCTATGTCCTGAATAAGATTCTCCATGCTTGCTTATCATAGTAAGCCCCGACCCTAAACCAGAACTCAAAGCCCTTCTGGAATAAGACACTTGCTGAACCCTCCAGCCCATATGAGCTGTAGTCTAAACTTGTTACAGTGGGTTATATTGGGGATTTATTCAGAGTACTACTATAGGGGCTATTAAGGGGGATGCTAGGAGTTTAGACGAAAGTACATATAAACTTACCAGCACTTAGGTTTCTCATATTTCCTTATTTTCAAGAGGAAATAAGCCCTAGACCCTCTAAACCCCAAACCCTAAACCCCAAAAGCCGTCTATGTGGAGGTTCCAGGCCAGACCAGTAGGGTTTGTGTGTGTGTGTGTGTGTGTGTGCGTGTGTGGGTGGGTGTGTGTGTGTGTGTGTGTGTGTGCGTGGGTGTGTGTGTGTGTGTGTGTGTGTGTGTGTGTGTGTGTGTGTGTGTGTGTGTGTGTGTGCGCGTGCGTGTGTGCGTGTGCGTGTGCGTGTGCGGGTGCGCGTGTGGGTG